AGAGTGACTGTGAGTCAGTCATCCTGAATTGATAGGAATGAGCAGAAAAGTTTCTAAGCTGACCTCTCTTTCCGTGGAATCAAGTAAATTTAAGGGATTAAAGTCATATGCAATTTCAAACATGCATATATGTATTTTTTTATGATAGCCCTTTGTGGAAATTTAAAATACTCCATTTTCTCTGCGTCTCTGTTTCAGACACACAGTTCCAAGGAAGCTATGTGAAAAGCACAACTACTGTATAGTCAAACAGGAGCTCACAGGTCCCAGCCTGTAACATACAAAGCTCACTGCTGTTCTACAACTGGCAGATCCCACAGCTCTCCTTCTCCTGCAGCCGGCCAGTGTTAAAATAAATCTGTCTTACAATGAAAGCTTTAAATGGTAGCATTCTACAGCAGCCAATGAAAGAGGTGGATATCACTAGTAAAAAAATATTTTGAAATGAATCCTATTCTAAATGAAATCCTACACAATCTAATGTTTTACATATTATATCCAAGAACTCACATTTCTGGCAATTTTTATGGTGCAGAATTTTGTATGGCTTCATCTGTACTAAAGTTGCAGAACCCAAGCTTACTCAATAAACACAGGTTGCAGTTTTTACACTAACCTTAAAGTAGTCGTATTTAAGTATCATGCTAGGAGTGGAGAAGAACAGAATGTTTCATGACTTCTCCGCAGATCTGAAAACCAAACTTGCTCCATTCAATTATTGGTCACTTTTAAGGGATACATAGTAGATGGGGCAGATCCCTGCCAACAGCTGTCAGAATGGAAATTTGAGGACCTCACTTTCTACTTTTCCCTCATTCTCTGAAGGTGAGAAACAATTACTTGAAACTTGAGGTAAGTGTGCTCTTCTCCCTCTATTCCCGCTATGAGAAATACCTGACAGCGGGTATGGTATTACAAGGGAAGCACCTCATTGCCCAGTTCATGCATTTTCCTAGGCAGTTTCTCAAACTGTCGATTTTGAATACAATATTCTCAATTTATAACTCTCTTTGTATTCTCTCCTAGTCTTCTGCCAGAGCGCTTCTGAATAGTTTATACAAAACTTCACAGCACAAAATTTAGTAGATGGGGGCACTGAAAAACAGTCCACTTCTGCAGTGTGCGTTCATTTTCTCTTCCAGTGCTGCTGTGAGAATATATGCTGCCTCAGCAACAAATACGCAGGCAGAAAAATATTTATGACACCTACCCATTCAAGTTTATATTTTCCATCATACTTCCTTAACGATTCAGTGAACATCCTTTTTTGTGACTGCTAATGCCAGATCACAGAACCATAGAATGCCTGACCTTGAATGTCTCCAGGGATGAAGCCTTCACCACCTCTCTGGGCAACCTGTGCCAGTGTTCCACCATTCTCATAGTGGAGAACTTTTTTATAACATCTAACCTAAATCAACCCTGTTCTAGTTTAAAGCCATTGCCCCTTGTCCTGTTGCTACATGCCCTTGTGAACAGTCCCTGCCCAGCTTTCCTGTAGCCCCCTTCAGGCACTGGAAGGCTGCTGTAAGGTCTCCCCAGAGCCTTCTCTTCTCCAGGCTGAACAACTCCAATCCTCTCAGCCTGTCCTTGTAGGAGAGGTGCTCCAGCCCCTTGATTATCTCTGTGGCCCTCCTCTGGACTCTCTCCAACAGATCCATGTCCTTGAGTTGAGGGCTTCACAGCTGGACACAGTACTCCAGGTGATGTCTCATCAGAATAGAGGTGCAGAATAATCTCTCTCGATCTGCTGCCCACGCTGCTTTTGATGCGGACCAGGATGCAATTGGCCTTCTGGGCTCCAAGCACACACTGGTGGCTCACGTCCAGCTTTCTGTCCACCAACACTCGCAAGTGCCTTTCTGCAGGGCTGTTCTGATAACGAGGATTGCCCCAACCCAGGTGCAGGATCTTACACCTGGCCTCGTTGAACTTTAGGAGGTTCACATGGGCCCACTTTTTCAGCTTGCCCAGCTTTTGTTCTCTAAGACTTTCCTAAACCATACTGTCTCAGGACTGCAAGTTTTTAACTGAAGAGATCACGCTTACTGTAAAATGGAGTTATCCTTACATTTGCTTCACTCAGTTTCTATAAATAGGGGATGAGAAAACTCCAAAACAACACAGGTGTGGATGATCATTCAATATCCTCCTTTCTACATTTAAAGAAATTATTCCAAAATTTGTCACTGTAGAGGCGAAATCATTATCTCATACCAGAACTTGCTGAAGTTCTAGCCTTTACGCTGGATACTCCTTTGGCTGCCATGAGAAACAACATTAGTTTGCCAGTATCGTGTACTCAGCTATGAATTGGTCAGTAGGTTATCACACCACTCATGGTAGTATCACTTAAAGAAACCATAGATGGTACATAGGCTATCAGCCATTTTATTAAAGAACTCCTGTTTACATAAAACTTCACTTAAGTGCAAACAAACAGAACCATCACAACTGGAGCACATACATGCTATAAAATTACTAGTTCACAGATGCTTACTTCCAGTATTGCAGAACTGAAAGAGTCCAACTGATAACAGCTTTTAGCAAACTTTGAACCAAGCCACAATCTCTGCTTGGCAAGCACATCCATAATGAGACGACTTCTATTTCTTGATTATTTTAATTCCACATTGTGAGAATCAGAGCAACAGGAAGACACTTGGTTTGCTGATCACTATGGTTTGCTGATAAGTCCTCTCTCAGATTTCTGATCAAGCCACGGAAGGACTTAAAGGGCTGTCACCGTGATATAAACCACTGTATTTACAAAAAACTCATTAGATGTAGTTTCTCAGGATTGCAGACATTAACCAAGAAACATAAACAGGACTTTCTGAAAACATCCAAAGGCAAACACCTCAGGTTATTGCACAAACTCCCGAAATGTTCACAGGGACCACTTCACAGCTCACAAAAGCAGTGTAGCAGAACGCAGTGCTCTGCTCCAAGAGAAAAAATTGTCACTTGTGCCATCATCAGCCCTACTTCTGACAGCAACTCTAGCTTTTCCACTCGGGTCTCCTATGTAAACTGACACAATTTGGATATGCAGAGCTTGAAATCCACTGGGCAGGAAGGCAATAATAAATCAAAAAAGTCATCGGAAAAAGTAGGTGCACAACATTGAGCCTCCAGAGGAAAGCTGCTGACTGGAGGACTTCCAGCAGGAGAGACAGAAACCCACTAACAGAAACTACATCTAAACAGTCAAAGGCTGGAGGAGATGTGGCCATAGCACACCCACTGAGACCACAGAGCAGGCCACTGAAACACTGAGCCTCACCAGCCCATGTCCTCCTCATAGGAAAAATCACAGAATGTCAGGAGTTGGAAGGGACCTCTAGAGATCATTCAGTCCAGCCCCCCTGCCGGAGCAGGATCACCTACAGTAGGTCACACAGGAACGCGTCCAGGTGGGTTTTGAACGTCTCCAGAGAAGGAGACTCCACAACCTCCCTGGGCAGCCTGTGCCAGTGCTTTGTCACCCTCACAGTGAAAAAGTTTTTCCTAATATTTTTGTGGAACCGCCTATGTTCCAGCTTGTACCCATTGCCCCTTGTCCTATCATTGGACGTCCCCGAAAAGAGCCGGGCACGTTCCTCCTGACACTCCCCCTTGACGTATTTATAAACACTAATGAGGTCACCCCTCAGCCTCCTCTTCTCCAAGCTAAAGAGACCCAGCTCCTTCAGCCTTTCCTCATAAGGGAGATGTTCCACTCCCTTCATCATCTCTGTGGCTCTGCGCTGGACTCTCTCAAGCAGTTCCCTGTCTCTCGAGCTGAGGGGCCCACTTGAGTTGAACGACCACTTGCCTTTGGCTTGTGCCATACATGCCATTAGGACAGGGACAAACACACCAGCACCTTTTCTAGTGAATAACACATACACAAGTAGGAAATTTACTCTTCTACCCACACATTTTGGTTTAGAGGAGGTTTTCGCATGCGTGCCACAAATACGCACACTTCAAGAAAGCAGTTAAGTGGCAAAAACAAGGAGGAAATTCTCTAACCACAGTCTCCTTTCGGTGGTGAAATCAATAAAGCCTAACAGTGCATGGTCACATCCTCTGTAATATTCCCATTTTATTAAGTGCAGAGTATACATTCAGAGGAAAAAATACACTGCTCTCTCTGGAAATCTTGTTTCCTTCATTGCAGAAGTTGAAGGAGGCAGTGGAGATGAGGGTGCTTGGAATTAGATATCAGCCTTAAGTCATGAATTATTCTTCCACGCCTTTAATTTGAGAATCAAATAATATTCACAGCTTACCAAATGAAATCAATAAAGATGTGTTTGGCATAAGTGATACATAAATGCTATGCGTTCGGAAACATTAAGTCTTTTTCACTTGAAAAATAAGACTCGTCAGATGCAAAGTACCTTTGCCCTACATTTCCTATTATCTGCAAAAAGGAGTGCCCTTTCTCACCTTTCACCTCAAAAAGCTGGAAAGAAATAAGAGAAGAAGGCTACATATGTGAAGAATCTGACACGAAGGAATTTAACAACACTGTTTTCAAAGCCAACTACTAATTGCAAGCAACAAAGGAAAAAGAGCCAGATTCTTAAAGAATGAAAATCACACATTAATAAATATTGACTCAGTATGTAAGCACTATTTCAAAGCACACTGAATGTGCAATCTTTTAAGAAGAAAAAAAGCTATATAATTAGAAGATGATATATCATTATGCACAACTGCAAGGGGGGCAAATAAGGATCACCAAAGTTCTCAAAAAAGCATCAGAGTTTTCAAGCAATTTTTCCAGTTCACGTAGAATCACAGAATCATAGAATGGCCTAGGCTGGAAGGGACCTTAGAGATCATCTCGTCCAACCTCCCTGTCGTGGGCAGGGACGCCACTTCTCGACTAGACCAGGCAGCCCTATACAATGGTTACAATATATACATTGACAAGTTTCTAAGAGAGCATGTTTTCATGTTGATACCCAAGGAATAATGTAGTCAAAACAACACTTAAAATTCCATACCTTGATTATTTCCACCAACTGATCCACACCACTGTCACCTGGAAAGATTGGTTGTCCTAGTAACAGTTCAGCCAATACACAGCCTGCTGACCACACATCTAAAAAAGGGAAAGTCAAGACAGGGAAAGGTGTAAGTAAAAGGTACATAATAGGCCACTTCTATAAAACAAAGCAATTTCAAGCTACTTTACTCTGTCATGTTTAATAGTGTGCATAACATAGCTAAAAATATAAAAACACTGCTGTCACAAACATTAATCTGGAAAACACAGACACCTGGCATAAAGGAATAGCAAGAAGACAGCCTTAAAAGGCAAACCGTAAGACAGTGAGAACTGGAAAATGATTTTAAATGCCGTAACATATTGACATTACAACTTATGCATGCAGGGAAAAGACCTGAGAACATTTGCCATTTGAAAAATCAAGAATTTCCCAAACCCCAGTGTTACTTTTAAATCACACTGATCACGAACCATGCATAGGTATCATTTACCACAACAACTGACATTTTTCCTGTTTCTGAATGTTGAGAAGACACAATTTTTTATTCATCTATTGAAAGCATATACACATTAGCAGATGAACCAGTACTGCAAGTATTACTTGTATCCTGCAGAACATGATGATTAAGCGATCTGGGAAACAGTCTCTCTAACTCAGTCACATCAAGACCTAATCTTTATCCCAATTTCATCTGCAAACTTAGCTGGACAAAACAAAACTGCAAGTCATAGATCAGGTCAACAGCATCCATGGAAGCAACCGTCAAATAATTTTCATACATATACCCAAAGCCAGAACCAGTCACTAGCAGCTACTCCTCTACATGAAGAAAATTTTCATCATTTATTACAAATGTGCCTTCTTACACAGAAATGAGATGATTAAATATAACAGCAACTTAAGAATGTATCTCAGTATATCACACAATACAGCTTTCGCTTTTTTCAACATAGTTAACTCAAAAGAAGAAAACTTAGTGAAGCAAATGTAGTAAACACTACACGGCAGATGTCTGTGAGAGTCTGCTGTAATCTCACACCAAACACTGAAGTTTAAGCTGTTCAACACAGTACAAGTGCTGCACCTAGATGCAGAGATAATTGCTTCTCCAAAAAAAAAAAATTAAAAAAAAAAAATATATTGACCATAAGGTTTTCCAGAAAGTCATGATTTGCTTGGTGCATACCTGAAACCTTATGCTAAAATCGAACCTCAAACAAGCAACCAGTAACAGCAGATTTGTAAAGCCTCTGCTACTGTAATACTCCCAAAGGGAAGAAGAACAAAACCAGCTGCCCTCCGCCCATCTTTCTTTCAACTGCAGCCTAATTTTCTGAGGTAACCATCCCCCAAGAACTAACAGTAGCATCACCACAACTCAAAACCCAGAGAATTTACCTCCTGAGGCCTGTTCTAACCTGAGATAACCCATGCTATGACAAAGATCCTTATTCTGCTAGTGGATCTAAACTATGCCACTGGGAAGCAGGATACACACAGAACTGTGAGTTGCAGCTAAAAGCCAGCGTAAGGGAAGCATCTCTCACAGCTCTCTAAAGAGTCTATTATCGCTTTGTCACAACCACTAGAGATTGATGCAAAAAATAATTTGAAAAAAAACAACAACCAAACACTTTCAGGGATTCAAGACTGATAACAAAATAATCTGCAATTTAGAACAGACTTTTCTTACCCCCATTTCTAAATGGAAGAGAGGAGCTATGCAAAAAATACCAGAAAAATCTGGTTCAGTTGAAACATACGGCAGACAAAAGGCACTGCTCTTTATTGCAGCTTTCAGAATCATTTACCTCTAAGTCGAATGGATGCATTTTTACATAATACCCTAGTACAAACAGCCCATCAAGGTTAATCCTAAAAAGCAACTACTCGTAACACAAACAGTGACCAGAATCAATAAAAAGACATTACAAAGAATCACTTTTTAATGTCATACCATGCGTAGTGGGTTTATAATAAATTACACAAAACTTCAACATATAGCATAGATTTCCTCAGAAGTACTGAAGAAGCAGTCACAGTACTGGAACTTAACAATTTAAAGGCATCTTAGAGGGTTTTGAAAAAGTCGAGTCCTCTGCACTGACTACAAAACAAGCAGTACTCCAAAGCTATAATCGTAATTTACTACTTCAATTCCTCATTTTGCACTGAAAAAGAAAAAATATTCAGGAAGGAAAAGTATTCAACAGAACATACACAAATCCAAAGCAGACACGAGAGTAAGTCAGCATACACAACTTGTTTCCTTTTAAAATTTTGAAACTATGCTAGCGAAATTTTTTAGAATTAGACTGCGGCTTTTTAAAACTGTTTTAAATAACCTTCTGGTCTGGCTGCTTCAGGAGGTTGGCTTTGTGCTCTTTTATCCTCTCCCAGTCTCCCTAAACGCCTCAGCACTCAGGCAGCCAATTTCAGATAAGTCTGCAAGGCAGAAATCTCAAATCCATTCCAGAAATTTTGTGGGGAGCACATGAATCAGTGTTGCTGCTGAGGAGAAGGAGGCGGGCTCGGACCCCATGGGATGCACTGGGCTTTGCCCCAACCCTGCCAAGCTGCAGCTGCAAACAAGTCGAGGGATGTGCAGGTCCTTGCTCAAGCAAGGCAGCCAAGCAGAAATGGCAGCAGGTACATGAGAAAGCTGAGGGTATCGCAAAGGAGAGAGAGGAGAAAAAGAAAGCATGTAGGTCATGAGGAAATAGCTGGGGAAGCCTGAGGAACACTTGATATATTCGTGATGGGTGCAATCAAGAATACAACAAATCCATCAGAAAACGAGGCAGTTGTTCCTCAAGCAGTGAAATCTTCCAAATTGGATGATTTAATGCCTTGTTAAAAGTCTATTTAATTTTCCCTGATTTTCCTCGCTAACATTTTAAATACACACTGAAATAAGCTACAAGCATTCCAAAATCCCCTACTTTTTTCCAGGAGTGTGATTTCACCAACTTCCAAATTAGGACTTGGGCAACGTTCCCTGGGCAAGGAAGTGAACAAATCCTTGAAGTATCCTCAAGGAAAGCCAGAAAGCAGAGGCTAACTTCAGCAGCTCCAAGCAAGGATGGCAACAAAAGGGTTTGCATAGGTGTTTATACAACTCTGGAGAGCAATGCACAGCAAGGAAAAACCCAGGAAATTTCAGCTCTGCTGAAACTTGATGGAATTTATAGCATCAACTTTAACAGGACTAAAATTTGGCTCTAGGATAGTTTGACTTTCCTCTCATCCCCCTCTGAATCTAGCATTTTAAAATTTATCTTCCAAATTGGGATAGTAATGTTTTTCAATTCTAAAGTAAAGAATGTACTAAATTCTATATTTACAGACGATGGCTCCTTCCCAGACCCTTTTCTGTTTTACTACAGTCACAGCTAACTACTATAGATTAATAATCTTACAGAGCATACTTGCAGTGTAACTACCTGCTCCTGTAGGAAAAGTATTTTCTGAACAATTCTTTTTTTTATGTGCAATTTAAATAAGGTAAAATATCATTATCATTCACATGCTTTAAACTAGTTAATAATGGAGAATAAGTCAACAAATCATCCTTACGCCAAACTAGTTGGGATAATGTGAAATTTTAAGAGAAAACATTGAAAGCTATTCATTTTAAGTAGAAGCAGGCAAGGCTACTCTCTTGATACTTTCAGTGAAATGTAGTCTAAACAATACGGACAATAAATGCAACCGACAGCCAAAAGCAACCTTCAGATAAGCTTACTTCAGATGGTTTTCACACACTGCAATAGTAGCTTAATGCTACATCTTTCAAAAGCTGAAGAACACTTATACAAATACCATTATCACATAAACTACCTGCACTAACTTAAGCGCACAAAAATTACTACAGTCTCTTACACTACAAAACTTGAATTAATTTTTGGTTACTTTATTGATCGTCACAGTTGTGAGGTGGACATTAACTTGCCTACTAATATCATGTGCATAATTCCCTTGCTTTTGAATGCCATTCCAGCAACAGAGAAGGTAAGAAAAGGAAAATTTCTCTTCAGTTGAGGAAGAGGTATCTGGCAGGACAACCTGCAAAATACACTCCTTAGCTTTAATTCTACAAGTGGGCAATGCCCATTTCCAGTTGTCTGTGACAGAATACCCTGTCCACAAATTTTATTTTTGTTATCTCAAACTCTGTCTTCCTGAGCTGAGAAGCTGGATCTCTCCTTCACGGCACAAGCACCGTTCGTTGTATTATGCTGCAGCTCCTCTAACTTGTTCTTTGGAAGACATGAAGAAAAAAAAAATCCATTTAGTAGAAATTAATAACTTTCCTTTATCTGGCACTTTATGGGGCACATTTACTTTTCTATATTTCCCTCACCCTTATCTATTCATCTCTGCCTCACTATTACTTGATCTTGATGGATTTCCTCCAGCTTCGAGGTGACGCAAACTTGCCACTCTGGAAACTGTGAAAACAAACTAGCAAGGAAGAAACCAGAAGTCACAAAAGCAGTCCTAGGAAGTCATAAAATCAGCAACTTTTAGTTGCCAAAAGACAGAACTCAAAGTGCTCTTATTTGTGCGTGTTTGGAACAGTTTTTGGGATGTCAGAACTAGAGCAAAATTCTGGATTACAAGCACATGTGCTGCGTTGGTCTAAGTTTTGCATGCAAAGCCACCGCAGATCCACAGACTATGGACACAGAATAAGGCTAAAAATTCGTAACGCTTGGAAAACCATGCTTGTTCCAGTATTTAGAATAAAAGCTAAATGAGGTATCTCTATTCCTCTCCATTGAAGAGATGAATCTACAATGACAGGTGATAATTAGCTCAGTAAGTTAACACAGGTGCTTACTTTTAGCATTGGAAGTTGCCATCCAAGACATAGAGGCAAATAATTTTTACTGTTGGACAACAGGTTTGGGACACATCACTTGATGGCTCTTTCCCAGGAAGCTTTGAGACAGCTCAGCTGCTTCAGGCTGCTGAGGTGAAATACTCTCAGTCTTCATGCTGGCTAGAAAAGTGAATGAATAACTTCATGCTACTTATTCTTGGATGCCCCAAGAGAAGCCAGCAATATAGCCACACAGATCAGTCCTTCCTTGTCAGTGGCTATGAATGTTCCCTCTGGAACAATCTCAACTCCCACCAGTGCAAGACCAGCAGACCCTTGTTTATTCAGAAGCACCACCATGTTCTGGTGAGCCTCGCACTGCTGCATCCCTAACCTAGTAAAAAACTGCATGTTACGGATGTAAAGCTTAACTACTCAGCTTCCTTTCATAAAAGAGGATCATGTGGCAACAGAAACACCTGCAGCCACCCCTGCTCCAGTGCCTGTGTTTGTCCCAGGATGTCGCAGGGGAATGTGGGCGACCATCCCATGTTTTTTCCAGCAGGCAGCAGCACCCATATGAATAGCACAACCAGCAGCATGACAGCAGCACCCTCTGGGATGGCGTAACGCATGCAGGAAGAAGCTTCAGTCAGAACACTGCCAAGAGATAGCTAAAGGGCTTGGTTTGCATGAAAACAAAAGCAAAAAAAACCAACTAACACACAAAACCTGACACCAAAAAATACCCCAACCAAGAACCAAAACCAAACAGCCCCACAAATCAGCTGCAGAAACAAAACTACAGAGCATCTCTAGCAAGCCTTAGGGATAACACACACTTGCAGAATTCCATCAGAGGTGCATAAAGGCCCAAACTCTAAGAGCTACGAAGGCTCCCAGGTGATATGAATGCTTGTGCCTGACCACTGAAAAGACCCTTCAAGTTGTAACGCAGGCAGATGACAGAGCTATCACAGGCCTGGATTTGTAAATAGTTGCCAACAGGGATTATCCAAAAACTCAGACAGGTCATTTCCCAGGTCATTATTTTAACAATAGCCCTGGGCCTGCTGGATAATATGCACAGAGGCATTAACTGCACTAAATGTGTTTTGATGATACTCTTACTAACCTATATATTTAAATACAGCACTAATGGAGTACTTCACAGAAGTGCAACAAATGCTACCCCCAGCCATGAGTTATTTTTAAAGGGATCTTTTGAATTTGAATTTAAGTCACACTTTGATGAAATAATCAAGATCCTGGAATTTAAAAGCCAGTTTACAGTTCTGACGTGACATCCACAATGAAAAGACAAATCCTGAAAACAACTTTAGTTCCCGCTACATTAAAAAGCAAGTAATGTCACAGACAAATTCATGTTAAAAGACAACCTAACGTCACTCCTGGTAACCGTGCTAAACAAGATGAATGACTACTGTAGTGGTCACGATGCAGGGTGGCTGTACGGTTGGGCCACCACAGTGCCACCAGTCAGGCTTAAGAAGCACCTCAACTTTTCAGCTGATTTTACTTTTAATGTAGTTTTAAGATAGTATATTTAAACAGAAGAGTGACGATCTTTACCTTGCATCTAAGCTCAGTTTTTGTTATGACATCCACATGAGTGGATGCTTACATAGAGAAAAAGACTCTATAGAAGGAGAATGCTCCTGTGCTAACAATTCAGAAGAAAACAAGAACTAAAAACCACAACCATGTCCACTTAAAAAAAAAAAGTTTAAAATGCAGTATTAACAATACTGAAGCATTTCACAGTTCCCTGTACTTTAAGTAGTGGATAAAGTAATGATTAAGAAATCTATCTGTGCTTGTTGGTTAGTGTACAGATAATGCTGGCTGAGTTTCGATGACCGATCCTATGTGAAATAAAGAACAGCTCTCACTAAGCACTGTTGCTGTGTATCTAGCAAGAACTAAGGAATATCCTTGTATATACCACCACTGGGACCAGCAGCATCACAAAAGCAAATCCCTGGAATTTCTAACATATCCCAGTACAACAGGTAACTGCAAAGTATGTTTGTAAAAGCATTTTTATTACTTCTCAGCTCCCAAATGCAAAGATTCTGTCGAGAAAAGGATGGAGGGAAGAAAGGAGTATTTGCTGAACTTCAATTTCAAGCTATTCTGTGCAAATTTTAGAGACAGGGCTTGGGGAAACAGGATGGAGGGCACAAAAAAAGTCTCAACAATGATTGAAATTCATGACGTTTTTGGCAAGTGGAAAACAAACTCCTCACTTTAGAATGTTGTTTTTATTAGAACTACTTTAGAGACCAGCAAGCAAGAAAACAGAACTGGAAAGAGCAACTCAAAGGGTCTGCAAAAAAGCGTAAGATCAGAGTTATTTCACAGGCTCATCTCGAAAGCAGTCTCTTCTGGCAACACCTAAAACATCTGTTTTATGCAGTTAGCATCTGAAACAAGTTGTCTCAGTGCACTCTGATAATGCAGCTGAGCCAACCTGTTAGCTCTCAGCTGGCAAGAAGATGTCAGCCAGGATCAGCCGCCCTCCCCTCACTCACGAGCTCCCATCACTTGACTTTTACCTGGGATCTGCTGCTTATGGGACCACACAGTAACTCACTAACATGGCAGAAAGTTAATCTCACCAAAAACTTCCAGTCAGCTGAAGCTGAACTGGCATAATCAACAGTCAACTGTGAGAGCTAGAATATCCAGGGGCAAGAAAGAGTAGTGCTGGGGCTCCCACTTTTTGGCAGCAGCCAATCCTTAAGTAAGTTCTGCCCTTTAATCTTTATTGCACTGTTACTTTCCCCAGACTTCTTGGGGTTCTGCCTCTTTTTTTCTACTGGGGAGCTACACAAGCACTGCTACAATACACGCTGAAGAATAACTAATGAAAAAAAGGTAAGCCTTCAGGAATGCTGCTTTTTTCAAAGAACCACAGAGTTGAAACAAACCAACTAGCCATTTTGTTTAACACTCATTAGAACATACTAACTTTAAACATACTTCAACTGGTTAAAAACACATTCTGCCAAGACTCAGTTGTGATCTCCAAATCCTTTTGAACATATAAAAACTTGTCTAAGTGACTCAAGTCCATAAGCACGGCAAAAGCTTAGTACGATACTGGGGAACCTGGGACCCAAGTCTCATCTCTAACACCAGCACTCAGGAGTCCAGTTAGTATCTTGACCAAACAACTGAGGAAGTTATTCACAACCAGCCAACACACTGTTCATTTTTATGATTTTTCATTCTGCAGTTCAATTTTAGAACTCGACTATAAGAAAACCTGGCTGTTCCCTGTCCTTTGCCAAAACGTTCAGCTTCCCTAACATTTCCATGACATAGCTACATGTCAAGTATTAGAAAAAACATCCTGAAGTTCAAAATTAATGCCTAAAGGACAGCAACATTTAACAGAATAAGTCAGAAAGGCTGCTGTACACAATATATTAAAACTGTCAAGAGAGTTTGCAGCTAATCATTAGGCCACATTCTCCCCTCACAGTAAAAACTCCTTACTAAAAGCCAAGTAAATAAATAATAGAATTATTTGTGTCTAAACCACAGCATATCAGAAGCAGTAGTTAATATTATCATATTCTTTACAAAATTACCCATTTTTTTGGTTGAAACTAGATTTCTACCACACATTTAAAAAGCCCCTTTCCTAATGTAATTGACACTGAAATGTGAAAAGACATAGGAATCACAGCAGTCATCCACAATACGCATACACTTTGTTAAGAGGTGGTGTACCTGATGATTTACAATAAAACTCTGCCTCTAGATTACTTCAGAAATAAAACCTCATGCAGTTGGTATAGCTTTCAACAAATACACATACATACCTATACTAGAGGTATAATCGGTGGCTCCAAAGATCAACTCTGGTGCCCTGTAGTACCGAGAGCAGATGTAGGAGACATTAGGTTCTCCACGAACCAGCTGTTTTGCACTGAAAAGGAAACAAAATTATTATCTTTCAGTAATGAATAGCTTTACAATATTGCAGTGCAGACTAGCATTCAGCTTTAGCACTCTTCACCCACCCCCAATTCCTAAACGCTGAAGAATCATGTTCTTCTGAGCTGATACAAGCCACAGACTCAATGATTCACTGTAAAATCACTTCACTTCATCAAGCAGCTACCTTATATTAGACACAGCAAAGGAAATTCTGACTACAATCTAAGTGAAAAATAGGGTCAGATTTTTGGCTGGCAGTCATCTTTTGCCAGGTACAAAGGTTTGTTTACAAAGAAAAAGAGGCCAGAACACAGTTCAGTCAAACGCATTTACCCTGTAAGGTTCAAAAAGCTCTGGATATTCACCAGAACTTTTTTTAAAAAAAATAAAATTCTGGTTGTAATATCCTGGTCCTTTCCTGTTTAAGGGAGTGTGATATGAGGAGACAAAGGAAAAAAAAACTTTGCCAGTGTAGTCACCTGTTAATGATCATGATTAACGAGAAGGCTTCATTTATACTGTAAGAGATAACTTACAAAGGATCTAACCTACAATATTGCCCCTACCACTACCTTTGGAAGAGCCTAAGAAGCTAAAGAGCACAATACTTTTGGAACATGAGTCCATGAACATACCATACTTCTTTCTTAATGAACACCAAGTGTTGGAAAGATGAAGACAAAACTTTCCTTTTGGAAGGAAGGCATCCAACTGAAGTAACAACAAACCCAGCAGAGCGGCAAACCAGTCACAGCCAACCTCCAGCCCTTCAGACACTCTGCTCAGCCTTCAAGGAACAAGGACTCCCACCACCATTTATCCTGTTTTGAAAAGCCTAGTTTTCTGTTTTCCAGACAGAGCCTACAATTTACAAACTCCCACTGCCAACAGAAGTACTACCATGTTTTTTATGCAGTTACTTTGGAGCTTCAGTGTAATTCCTATTTTGCTCCAACACTGCTGAAGTAGAGCCAAGGAGGGGATTCTCGAGCCACGAGGCATGACGATGCACTGTCTGAAGAACCACCACACCATCTGACATTCCCACTCACTATGGGCAAGCAAATTTAGCAACAGCAGCTTCCGTGACCTCTCGCACATACGCCCTAACTATTTTAGTCTGCAAAGTTAGAGCACAACCTAAAGACTGAACTTTCCCAGAGAGAAATTAGTCTCAAGTCTCAGTGTGGATTCTCAGAATTTCTGTATCAGTTCTAAGAGGGCAGTTGGGTTCTAAAGGTGATGATTCAGTTGAATGGATACTGGCAATAAATGTGCCACTGGAAACTGTGATACATATACTTCCACTATCCAAGAGCTTCGATTAGAAGTGTTGCTTCTGATCTTAAGCTTCTACTGTATTTGAAATTAAGCAAATTTTTGTACATACAAGTAGATTACTGAAGTCTAATGTTAGCCTTTTTAGGCTACTATGCCACTGCACCTGTCCTCTCTTCCCCAAACACATTTCGCTCTAATAGTTGGTGAAAGTACCTATTTATCTTCCTATAAATAGGTGATAGCATATTTCTTATGTTTCTAACACCTACATAAAACAACGAGTTTAAACTTTAATTCCCTCCCTTTTGGTATGTTTTTCCAGCTCTTTCTCACCTCCTCCCAAATTCATTTCAAGAGGAAAATAGAACATAAATAATTTCTCTTTAAAAACTACACATGAAGACCTTCTGAGGAACACAAAAGAATTTCTTTGCAACGTTGCACCCAGGTTCCCTTTGAAGGAAGGTCTTTTCACCAGGTTTCAGGCCACAGATGTCCTTACCTTCCAAAGTCGCAGAGTTTTAGAACAGCTGTATCAGGGTCCAGCAAGAGGTTCTGTGGTTTTATATCCCGGTGGCAGATCCCAAAGGAATGGATATAGGCTAAACTCCGGAACAGCTGATACATGTACAACTGCAACACAGAAACATCACATGAGGTGTGCTTTCCCAGTAGAAACATGGTAAGCAGTTAATTTAGCACAAACTCTTATTAGAAGAAAAATAAGTCACTCAAAAAAAGACTCTATTGAATGCATGTTATTGCTATGAAGATAGACAAGGTTTTTGCATACTTTCCCCACTCATCCTTTGCCACACACCACAGCTCAAATTTTTTTACCTGTCCTTTCAAAAATAAGCACAATTTGAAAAAAAATAATAATTGTGCTGTCCTTCTAAACCTTATGATTTTATAAATCAGCCTCTTCATAGAAACGAAGTATCCCAGGCTATCAAAAAAAGAAACAAAACAAACCAATCCTCCCTGCCTAAACCCAGAGAAAACTGTTTAGTTGATGAAGTTATTAACAACATATTAAATATTGCCCAAGGACTACAGTAGTGTTTCAGCCTGTTGCTTGGTTGAATCTCCCAGTTTTTCCTGGTGAGGGGACAGACTCACTTCAATTTCAAACATCTGGGCAAAGAAAGAAGGCAGATGAAAAACAACTGTTCAGAATACTTTTTATACAAAGCACAGCCAACAACTCTGCTGAGGAAGAGTTTTCTCTGTCTCCTTTTCCAAGACAGGGTAGCTCCTGAACAAGGAAGAAAACAGAAAGGGGAGGTGTTAGGAAGCCAAAAGCTTCACAGGGCAATATATGAGGGCAAGGAGAGGATGCCCACGTGCTGGAGCTACGTGCTTTCGGCTAAGAAGAATAAAGAGCTCTTGGATACCGTTAGGGCTATATAGCATACGTGTTCATAAAGGTATGGGAAGCCCCGTTTCCACAGTTGCCAGCAGGCTGCCAGGTTATCTTTGTTGCATTGCCCACAAGACTCCATTTAAAAATCAAGCTACAGGCAGGACATTGTACTGTAGATGCACCTCCACACTTTCCTTTCCTAAGCACATTCTCCATAGTTCACCTTCAACAGTCTGTAAAACCGGGTGCAACTGCCAGATACTGATATCAAGTCATGTTTGCCTCACTTCCACCACTATCTTTGTCTTTACACTTTCTCTCTCCTGTGTGTTTTTTTTTTTTTGTTCGTGTGGCAGGGAAGGTAGGAGCAGGAGAAAAACTGCTTGAATTTTGGCTCTATGTCTTTAGTTTTCTTACTTGTTTCTGAATACCACAATTCTGCATGAAGAAAAGCAAATAAACATGTTTTCTGAGTTGCCTCTTCTAGACACGTTAAAGTACGCATTGTGCAAGCGTATTGCAAAATGCTGCAAAAGATTGCTCCAACTTTAGGAGTCAGGATTTAGAAAGTATGCCTTTCATCTCCACAGAGCAAACTCCAAATTTCCAAGAATTTCTTACAGCATGTTAGAAGTTACCAAAAAAAAGTTACCAAAAAGATTACTAGGAAAGCTTCCCTGCAGTTCTTTAACAGTTAAATCTTTGTTACCCAGAAAAGAGCAGCTCTCTGCTTGCCTAGGTATCAATAGGAAGTGAACAAATAGGTACAATCTAACCTAGTGTAGCCAAGATGTCTAGAAAACTGTAAAATCTTTAAGGACAACAATGTAACATGATCTTTTAAAATACGGGATTACAATAAAGGCTTGCCTTTGCCAGACAAGTAAGAACAGTCTTTGAGGCTACTTTGAACAGGGAGCCCTAACCATCCAGCAGGACAATCGAGGTAAAGCAGAATTTTCTCTCTAAGCGTAAGTAAGGGAAATTTTTCCCAAGTTCTCCTAACAAAGAGCAATAAAGGCAAAAGTACTGACAAAAGATATATAAGCAAATTACCACAAGATCAACTAACAGATTCTGGGAAGCATACAACCTGAAAACATTCTGTTCCATTAAGAGATCAAACAGAGAGACCTTGTAGTAGAAATTGTTACTGATGGATGATAAAATTCTGTGCTTTCTTAAAAACAGGCACCAGCGCTGGCTACTGCAAAAGACATGCCATTTACAATTTACATATATACAGTTATGGGATAACACTGTTATTGGAATCATTACTATCTGTAGCTTTCACTTGCGTAACTTCCATCTTCTTTCAATCAAACTGAAGTTTTTTCTCAAGCCCACCCTCATGTTAAACATTCCACTTTGAAAGAAGGCTCTGCAGAAATCAATATAAGCCAGGAATATTTGTCAATAATTTCTATTTAATGTTATCTTGATGCCACATTAACAAGTTAATGTCAGTCATGTGAAAACATCATCATTCTCTAGAGTGTGGATTGTGGTCAACACAATATATGAAACAGAACTACAAGATCCCCACGGGTCGCATGTTTGACCAAAGGAAAAAAAAATTAATCATTTTAATCACTTTGTAAAATATGACAACAAATGTAGACAACTTAAGGGAGGTTTTGAGAGTACAAGCCACATACAAGCATCCTACCCCATGCACCTCCTCAAGACAAGAGCCAATGAGCTCCAAGTGGGGACAAAAAACCATGTCTTCCATGCCCACAAGAGAAGCACGTGAACTCTTACCCATGTGACAGGAGAAGGGTAAGATAACAGATAAGAGAACATTATTCTTCCCGACATCCTATTTCAGTTCCTGACCTTTGTACTATTGTGTCTTCACCATTTCAGGAAACTGAAGCTGGTAATCCATCTGGTGTCAGCCTCCATCTAAGCTGCTTTGAAAACAAAACACTGCCCCCACTCTGTTTTCCCTCATACACTCCAAGATTTTTGTAAAGCAAGAAATCAAGACTGCTTGCTTTAAGTCTCTAGTCTCTATTCTTCCTTTGCCATAATAAATAATCATTCTAATAGTCTTTTTTCTTGCCTCAAGATCTAAGTGCTCCTAAAAATTCCAGAAAACTAATTATGTCAGGAAAGAGGTATCCATAGAATCTATTCCTATAACATCCTTCTTGATCTAACCACATCAGTTACCTACCTTGACATAAATCATAGGGAGTGTCTGTTTGGCCCGACTATAATGTCTGGCAACTCTGTATACTGTTTCAGGAACATAGTCCAGCACCAAGTTGAGGTACACCTCATCTTTCTGAAATAGAAAGGAAGAAAAAAAAATTAAAAAATCAGCAATAGATTTGAAGCATGAAGTACAATTAAAACATTCAGAGAAGCCAACAATATGACAAAGCTATGGATGTTTTAAGTACATTTCTTCAGTGCGAGTGTGCACTGCGACCAAACTGTTTTCCCTTTAGGCTTTGCACTTGTGCAGTAATACTTAAGTCAAACTTATGATTAAGGTTACGTTAATTAACGTCTCCAACATAAGGCATTTTCTGATTATAAATAGGATAAAAAAGAAAAGAATGTTATCACTCTGTCCTGTCAATATTTTCATTAGGAGGTACTTCAAGGTGATATATGCATCATTATTTAAAGCAGTCTAACTCACTAGTCCCTTACCCAGGAAAATCCAAGAAGCCCAAGTTTAGAAGTCCCAAATTCACCTCCCAACAACTAAACATCAAAAGTCTGAAACCTTGCAACTTTTAGAAATGTTACTTTGATCTTCCTAACTATTAAGAGATTAGTAACACATATTGACCATTCACAGACAGTAAGCCAGCACTAACATTTGTAACTATTCTGTTTACATCTATTTTGACATCCCAGCTATCTCAAACATATGAATTTATTCATAGCAAAACATAACAAGCCAAACTCAAAGACTCAAGTATCACTTTTAATATCTAGGATCAGGTTAGAGGTCCATGTGAATGTAACAAGGAGAAACAACAGAAGTATCTTTATAATAAGGTGCTTTGTTAGAGAATACATTAGCACAGGAAAGAAGGAACAAAGAGGAATTAAATGACAAAGTACTATAATCACACAGTACATAACTGTGGAACTGAGAACTTTCTGGAGTAAAACAGGTCTTGAAAAGACTTCTGGTATTTTAATGCAGTCTTCTCTGTAAATCCTATCAGGACTGTGAATACATTTAATGTTGAGGGGTGGCAGGTTGGGTATAATTAACTATATCAACCTGAAAAGTTATTTTTGTAAGCTTGGTATATTAACCAGAAGTAACCTCTCCTGTATTAACAGCTAGATCTTTTTACAGAGTAAGACAATACATAGAGGCTTTACATGGAGAGAAACAGTACAGAACTCCCAGGTTTTCAGTTGGAGTCCCTTGTCAGCAGGCTCACTGGCTGTGTGTCTTAACACCCGAAAACAAACCTCATTTAGCTACAGCAATTTAATAATACTAGTGTGACTTAACATGTCACTTCAAGCACAGAATGGGGTGTGATACTCCCACCTAACTCCCTTGTCCTTACCCACCTGACCTGCCTCAGCAAAGAGCAGCAGTCTCCAACGAGTACAAAAACCGGTACGTGGTAACAAACACACAACTTGAATAAACAATGAGCAAAGAACTGCTGGGTTTGTGTGCTGTTAAAGACTCAAAATTCAACATCACTTTTCACCACTATTTGACAATAAACACTTGTATTCTCTGGACATTTTAATAACTCTTACCAATACCTCCTAATAGGCCAAGTCACCCTGCAAGGCTCTGTCTACCTCCCTCTTCCCTATAAAAAGACGCTCTTTAATATCATTGCTTAAATGACAGCAGTAAAACAGCACCAGCACCAAGTAAATGCCACTGGCATCAGCTTTTATGGCACTTCTGCAACACAAGGAGCAGCAGCCTCCAAAACGCTGCCTACACTGGTGCCTCTCCCAGTGCCACCCCAGGAACTGGGTATCAACATGAAGTTGATCCGGAAATAGGGCTGGAGAATCAATTTTTTGAAATGGGTGAGGAGGGATGACTAAACAGCAGTGCAGAAGAAATACCAGACAGCTCTGGAACTCCACAGATGTGCAAATGTATGCAAGCAAATGATGTACTTTTATTTCCTCCTGTAACAAGAGGTGCTTTTTCCCTGACTCTCACTTCAAGCCAATAAAAATCTACCATCGCCTCTTCCTAGGTCAGAGTTTTCAAGGTATTAATTATAAAATACCGAAAATAAGCATCTTGAAAAATCATTATGCCCGGTAAGGCAGCCTGTACACCAAGAGAGAAAACAGTCTCACGAATATGAATTTAGTTTGATTCAGACAAAATCCGATGAATATATTGAATGCTTGCCTCTTGGAGGATGGGAAAGTTTTATTGATAACAAGTCACTGCACAGAGCACTCTTTTACTGAGGCTGGTTACTTCCACTCAAGGATTCATGTTCCATATACCAAAAAGATGTACATGAGAGATTAGAAACACAGAAAAAACATTAGTAGAACTGGAATTGCTCTGATTTCATTACCCTCTCGCAGTACAAGCAAAAAGGAGATATGTGAAACAGTAATATATATGAACATTAAACAATATCTATGCTACTTGATGAGAGTGATTTCTGAGAACTACAGAACTTGATTTAGTTCATATCACCTTTGCTCTTCTCCTCTCCATTTTTATTTCATGTTGTTGGAAACTGGACTAATTCAATAGCATAACACGACACAAGCACACAAAAAAAAACCCTCAAGGCACTTGAATTGTGGAAATTGAGGTTTTGCACTCACCCACCAATGCTTAGGAGTTTTGATGCTACCCCCCAGTATTTGAACAAAAAACATGTTTTTGTGTGGCACTGGCTCCTGTTTAAACACATATCACACATTATCCTCTGTAACATGGAGGCATATGAACACCTTTCCTCCAGCCAACAAACAAGTTCTGATGTACCCAGAACTTTAATATGCAGCTATAAAGGCAAGGCTTATGGTGTTGGCTCTACAAGTAGCTGCATATTCCACTCCTACTACAAGTAACCGACACTTCAAAAGTGCTCTAGATGACTAATGAATTAAAGATTATTATAGTGTTCTGACCTACGTCCTCCTTGATGTCACCTGGCCAAAATCTGATAAACCATCAGAACATGGTTTTCAAGAGCCCTCATCCTTCTTTGTGCACATGAACTGGATGAAAATAACATCTAAGTTACCTGGATTCCCCTGAACAAGATTCAGGATGAGCTAGAAAACAGTCATGGCCTGACAAGCTCTGAGGATGATGTAACCTGGCTTGCCGACCTCATGCACTCCACTCCTCCTAAACACATATTTTTCCAGTGACCCAAATGTATTGCAATAGGAAGCAGGGTTAGCTCAAAGAACTTGTCAAATGAGGGCAACTGCTTCAGGATCAAGCAGGAGAATCAAGGCTATTCTTTCCATTCCAGGAAGCCTTTTTCAAACCCGACCATGCATTCTACACGTGACTGCTTTCCACATGGCTGTTTCAAAATTGGGCTGAGAACAAAGCAAAATAACTTATCCATCAAGAGCATCTCTGAAACACCTCTACAGAGAGCACAAGTCTAGAAGAGACTGCATCATATGAACAACAAAAACAAAAGCAGGATGTTATTAAATAACTCGCTTCTCCTTACAGTTCTTGGGATTGAATAAATTATTAGCTTGCTTTAGCAGGCCAAATGTTTACTCTCATCCATATTCTCCTGTGCTAGGTTATGACCATGTACTCTTTGAAATAAAAAAAGGGGAAGGCAGAAAGCCAGATCCTGAAATGCAGGATCAATGTGTTTCATTAGGATTTTGGCTTTAGCAAAGCATGTATCTGCAACTGCCTCAAACATTAGAAGCTGCTTTTTGTTACTTGGCAGATAAATCCTCAATAGACAAACATTGCTCCAAAACACGCCACAGCAAAATAACCACTGCCTTATCCTTGAACTGCTCTACACCTCCTCAAGAATTGACAATTCAGGCACCACTTCACTTCGGTTGGAAACACTTAATATAAGTGAATACTAATACAGACTAAGCCATAATAAGAGGCTTGCGAAAGACTAGAACACATGAATCAAAACATTCTAGCAATACATTTTTGTGTTTTATTTTTTCTCACATATCAGAAATTGGAGATAAAATAGGCTGCAAGTACAACTACTCTATTATGTGGCTGAAGAGCAAGTGAAATTGAAGATGTTCCCCTACTGACATGGGAACATCTGCATGGACATCTCAAACTCCACTTCTAAACTCTTCTCTCCTTCAAGCCAAACAAGCAATCTGTTTTAAGCATCATTCAGTTGAGCTTGACTGTGGCAAATATAAAGCAACAGCTATTGAATTCAAAGGTTTGCTCTTCCAGATTGTTCCTTGCAGGTAAAGTATTAATATTGCTCCTCTATGATCTTTCCCACCTCAACAAACCTCAAAGCAATCCTAAGTGGTTTCTACCAGCTTTCATTCATTTTTTTCCTATCACACACACTACATTTACAACATGCATTTAACTGCAATTAACATTAGTCAGTCACAGTCCAACTACTTCCCCCATTTACAACCGGCATGACAATGGAAGCCAGGAAGGTCATACATGTGAAACGCCAGACTGTGGGAAAAAGGGGAAAAAAAAATTAAAAATCACAGTGTGTACTTGAATAATATGTCAGTATCTAGTAAATTGTTAGCACTTATCCTGAACTTTCAGTCCTACCTGGAATCTAAGGAAAATTTACCCAAGTGTCAAGTATTAGGATAAAAGGTTAAGAAACTATTCTGGGCACTCTTTCTTCTAGGGTGATTAAACTTACTGATCACGATTTGAAAAAGGTGGTGAACATGCTCATCTCAGTTTTCATCTCCCAGCAGATCAGTAACAGTGTGGTGGTGGTGGTTCTAGTGTGGTTTGCGGGTGGTTCTTCGCTTCTACATATTGCATTTTTATCCCAGATAATTTAATTGAGCTAGTTTTCAGATGGACTCCACATGATCAGCTATACGAGCACAACTGGGGAAAATGAGTTTCTTAATCTAACTTTGCATTTGGAAAAATAAATGTGGAAATATGCTCTGAAGAAACTCACTTTGCCTGTCTATTTAAGGCAGAAGCACATAGATAAGCGATAAACCTAAAATTAAAGAATATGCCTCCAGAAGCACTTCTTACTGAAGTTATCACAAGGCATCAGTATTGGGACCATAGGAGGTAAATAAGCCAGTTGGTTTACTCAAGGGGATTATGTTGTCTTTACCACATGACAGTGCCCGACCGATGATGTTTCAGAGATTGCTGCTACAGAGTTGTTACTGGCAGGATGGCAGCTACACAAGGGTTCTGTCAAAAAATGCTGA